CACCTTTCTTTCAACAATTGGACTACTATCAAAAAGAAACAGACAGAAAATCAGAAATATGTAATAGAAGAGTTGAGAAAAACTCTCTACCAGCTTGGCTTATTGACACTTGTAGGACACTCTACTCAAGAATAGCAGAATAGTCATTTTGTTCTTATGCACATAAAATCTTTCCAAAGAAAAGTTATAGGCTCTCATTTAGTCCATAAAAACCAATTTCAATAAATTAAGGACTGACTATACAAAGTATATGCTCTGATCAAAATGGGCCCAGATTAGAAATCAATAACAAAAGCATTACACTTTTCTACAAGCAGCTTTCACAATCAACAAGTGAGAACTACCTAAATATATATCAACAAATGAAAAGATAAATACATTGTGCTAGAATAACTCTAAGGAATAAAGAGAATTCAACTGTTTATTTGTGTAATGAGATGGCTGAATCTCAAAGTAATTTTGATGAGTGGAAAAAAGACATTAAAAACAATATATAGGATAAGACTCCATTAACAGTAAATTCTATGAACTGCAAATGACTCTAAAGTGACACAAAGCAGATTAGTTGCCTGGGGACAGAAAGAGGTAAGTAGAAAGAGGCACAGAGGAGGGATTACAAAGTGCAAAGAGAAAGTTATTTTGCTACTATTAATGATTTCATGAGTATATTTATTTGTCAAAACTTATAAAGTTTATACTTTCTATATGTGCAGTTTATTGTATGCCTGTTATATCTCAAAAACTCTGGTAATAAATTCAAAAAAGAGTACATGTGATACTTGATGCCTCTGCTTCATTTTTATATATAAAATGGACATAGTATAGATCTACCATCCATAGTATTTAGCACGTAGTTTACAACTTGTGTTACTTATTATTTGTCTTAGCTGCTCTGCCACCAATGCAACACACTCCTAAATTTAGGGCCAAAGCACTTTTTGCTAAATCTATTGGAATGTGTGATGTCCTGAAATTGTGTGACATGAGTGATCAGAGGGATCGTAGAGATAGCTTAGGATAAAAACAAAACTAGAGACCCGTTGGTCCAGAGACTTACTGGTTAGGTGAGAGAATTGTGCCATCTTCCCATTGCCAGGATCCATTTGTTGCAATTTGTGTAAGTCCCATCCAATGATATGACTTCACAAGTTTAAGGAAATCCTGTTAGAATAAAAATACACTACAAATGAAACCATTGCTCACAATGTTAGTAAATACAAGGTTACAACTATTTAATTATTTTATTTCCACACTTAGAAACAAAGCACTCTCTTCCCTTAATTCCCACTTAAGCAACACATACATAATACCTGCAAATTCTGTGGGTATTAAAATTCTGGAAGGGTATTGGATTATCTAAGTCTTAGTATCTCTCCTTTGTTCCACATTCCATATTCCAGTGAGTTGCCTCATATATTAGAATGAAATACAGAATATAGCATTAAAATAAATATACAACCTGGTCCACTCTGCTGTATATCTTCAGAAGGCTGGAATTTTGAGACATACAAGAAGCTTGGCTTTCAGACCAGTTTTTGTTCTCACTAAAGAACTGGTAGCAGTTATTTCTATAACATATCCAGGCTTTAGGACATGGGCCACAGTAATTCTCTAGAAAGGGGGAATACATTATGAATTCTTCACATGTATAAACATCATAGCAGATTTTTTTTTCTGGACAAATTAAATGGCTTTATAATTCCCACTCTAAAATTTCAGATTATTAAGTGATAAGCAAAGACATATCTTTACACATTCTTAGAAATGCCAAACCTAAATATCTCCTACTTTTTACAAATATTTTGTCATTGTGAAAAGAAAAACAAAAGCTATGGTGAATTACGGCCTAGAACAAATCATTTCTTTTCTACCTTCTAACACCCCACTGGGTAGATACTTATGCCTTGGTGAGTAAGTGTGTGTGTGTGTGTGTGTGTGTATACACATGATGTGTTCTTTAAAATATTAAAAAAATTAACTTACCATTTAAGGATGCTGGAATTCCTTGGTTGAATAATGCTATTAAAATAATCATAATTATTAAAAAGATTTTTTAATTCCCTTTTGATAGTAATGTACAGCCTGAGCAAATATAGTTTAAACATTTCTAGACTAACAGAAAATATATGATGAAGACATACTAAGTATTACTGGTTTATCTTTCTGTGTTTCTGAATACTGATCAAAGTAATACATTGCAACTGTTATGTCAATGATATCGCAATTTAATCACTCACAATTTATGAATATGGCACTCCATATTGATACCATAATTATAAAACGGATTCCCATTGCCACAGCAACAGACCGGCAGAGATGAAATGGAGATGCTGTCAAAGATGAAAAGAGAAAGGGAAAGATTAGAAAAATAATTATAAAGAATTTAAGTACCTTTGTATTTAGTATAAAAATTATTTTTCATGAGAGAGTAGTATTGGTCTTTTTTCTGCTTTAGTTGATTTTCCCAGGACATGTAACATAAGTACTTTGTAAATAATTAAAGAGTAGAAGTATAAAAATGTAACGTTCCCTCCTGTACTTCTCTACACATTTACCAATAATCCCCAGAAAAAATTATGTTTATCATTTATTATTTTTCTATGCAGAAAGAGGTTGGATTTTAAATTCTCACATTGTCCACAATCTCAGGCATTGAGGAAAAATGGTTTTTTAGGGGAAAGGAAATAAAATTTAATGTTGAACGTTGCATTGTAATTTGGTGCTGTTCCTGCCATCTTGGAACATAGCTAAAGACAATTCCCTCTGGCCCTTGATGCTAAAGAGGCGCCCAATCAGAGGGCTCCTACATTTTAGCACACTTCACCAGTGGCTATCTAAATTGGCCTGAGACACCAAGTAAATTCTGGTGGCTATATGACATAATAACCATGCCCTATGGACAAGTCCCAGTTTGGTGCTGGTGTGGGTGGCTGTAGACAGTCTCCAAACATACAGAAAGATATGAATAGCTAAATACAATAAGATTAAAGATTACCAAGCAGTTTTGACCCAAATAAGATTACCCTAAATCAAATAATATTAAAATTCTCAAAAGTCACAAAGAGAGGATTCTAAAAGAACTAAGAGAAAAGAAGTAACCAACTTGTAAAGGAACTTTGATACATCTGTTAGCAGACATGTTAGCAGAAAACTTCAGGCTAGGAGGAAGTGGTATGAGGTATTAAAAGTGTTCAAAGAAAAGAAAAAAAAAATGACAACTTAGATACTATACCCAGCAAAACTCTCCTTCAACATGATAAAAGGAAAAAGACTTTACAAGATAAAACGTGGGAGATTTTTACCACCAACAGGTCTGTCTTTTAAGATATGCTAACGGGAGGTCTTCAGTCGGAAAGACAAAGACACTATCATGCAATAAGAAAATATTTGAAGATATGAAACTCACTGGTAAAAAAATAAGTACACAGACAAATTCAGAATATGCTAATATTGTAATTATAGTATGTCAACCACTCGTATCTTTAGCATGAACACTAAAAGACAAACCTATGAAAATAATAGTAACTGCACTATTTTTAAGAGATAGGCAATATAAAAAGATGTAAATCCAGACAACAAAAAGTCAAAGTGGAGGGGGATAAAGTTTAGAATTTTTAGTTTTTTCTTTGTTTCTCTCTGTTCTTTGTGATCAAAGTTAAATTACCATTAGTTTAAAATAATTATTATAGCTGTAAGATGTTTTTGTAAGCCTTAGAGTAACCACAAAACAAAAACAGATACACAAAAAATAAAAATCAAAGAATGAAAACATATGACCAGATAAAATAACTTTATCACAAAGGAAGACAGTAAAAAAGGAAATAAGTTGTTAAAAACCTAACACCAAAATAGCAATAGTAAGTCCTTGCCTAGCAATAATAACATTGAATGCAAATTAACTAAATTCTCTAATTAAAAATGTAGAGTGAATGGATTAAAAGAGAGACCAAATTATAGTCTGCCTACAAGAAATTGACTTCATCTGGAGAGATCACATGAAGACTGAAAGTGAAGGGATCATAAAGGATATTCTATGAAAATGGAAACCAAAAGAACAGGACCAACTATTCTTACATCAGGTTAAACATATTTTAAGTAAAAAACTGTAAAAAGAGTCAAAAGAGATTATTATTAATATATAATGATAAGAGATAATTCAGCAATAAGATGTAATAGTTATATGTGCCCCCAATAGCAGAGCAGTCAAATACATTAAGTGTATATCAATATGCTCAAGGGAGAGAGAGACTGTAATACAAAAGAGTATTGTATTACAATCCACCAACACCTCACTTTTAGTAATAAACAAATCATCTAAGCAGCATATTACAAAGAAACATAGGAGTAAAACTGCAGTCTTAGACCAGGGGTGTCCAATCTGTGGACTGGGGGCTGCATGCTGATTTTGTGAGGGCATCTTTTGTTTATTTGTGATGTCAGATATCATGAAAAATATGCAGGGACTTTTTTTGGGAGCGGGGGGAGCTAATCTAGAAATGGTGTCTCACTCATGCTCAGCCTGATCTTGAGCTCCTGGACTCAAGCAATCTTTTTGCCTCAGCTTCTCAAAGTACTAGGATTATAGGCATGAGCCACCATGCCTGGCTTAAATTCTCAAATTCATATGGAACCATACGAATAACCAAAGCAATCTTGAGCAAAAATGAAGCTGGCAGTATCACATTTCCTGACATCAATATAACTATAATAACCAAAATAGCATGGTACTGGTATAAGAAAATCAGTAGAACAGTATAGAGAACCCAGAAATCCATGTATGATAGCCAACTGATTTTCAACAAAGGCGCCAAGGACATACAATGGGGAAAGGACAAGCCTCTTCAGTAAATGGTGTTGGGAAAACCAGATACCAGTAACAATATGCAGAAGAATCTGTCTAGACCCATATCTTTCACCATATACAGAAATCAACTCAGAATGGATTAAAAACTTAACCATAGGACTCGAAACTATAAAATTCTAGAAGCAATCATAGGGAAAACACTGCAGGACAAATATTTAGACAAAGATTTTATGGGTGAAACTTTAAAAGCATAGGCAACAGAAGTAAAAAATGGATAAGTGGGGCCTCTATCAAATTAAAAACCATTTACCCCAAAGAGGATACAATTGACAAAGAGAAGACAGAACCTGTAGAATGAGAGAAAATATTTACAAACTGTTCATATGACAAAGAACTAATATCCAGAATATATGAGGAACTCAAGACAACTCAACATAAAAAAAAAAATCCCTTTTTGTTTTTGAACTAAAAAAAATAAAAAAATTTTTTTGAGTCAGAGTCTCACTTAGTCACCCTGGGTAGAGTTTTGTGGTTTTGTGGCATTATAGCTTACAGCAACCTTAAAATTCTGAGCTGAAGTGATCTTTTTGCTGCAGTCTCTGTAGTAGCTGGGACTACAGGCACCTTCCATGATGCCTGGCTAGTTTTTCTATTTTCAGGAGCAATGAGGTCTCCCTTTGCTCAGACTGGTCCCTAACTCCCAGCTCAGGCAATCCAACCGCCTTGGCTTCCCAGAGTGCTAGGATTATAGGCATGAGCCACCACACCTGGTCCAAAATGTTAATCCTATAAAAGTGGGCAAAGAATTCGGATAGATATTTTTCAAAAGAAGACATAATTGGCATATAAGTACACGGAGAAATGCTCAACATCTCTAATCATCAAGGAAACACAAATCAGAATCTCAGTGAGATATTATCTCTTTCCATGTAGGATGACTATTATCAAAAAGTGAAACATAAAAAAGAATCCTACTGAGGATGCAGGGAAAGGAAAGTGTTTTCATCCTGCTGAAGGGATATATATTAGGACAATAATTATGGAAAACAGAGTTTCCTCAATAAAATAAAAACAGAACTACCATGTGATCTTGCATTTCCACTACTGAGTATTTATTTGAAGGAAAAGAAATCTTTATATTGAAGAGATACCTGTAAACCATATTTATGGCAGCATTAGTCACAATAGCCAAGATATGAAATCAACTTAAGCATCTATCGGCAGGTGAATGAATAAAGGAAGTGGTATGTATACACAATGGAATATTATTCAGCCATAAAAATAATATAATCCCATTATTCTTTCAAACATAGATGAGCCTGTAGGATATCATGTCAAGCGAAATAAGTCAGACACAGAAATATAAATACCTAATGTTCTCCCTCTTATGTGGAAACTAAAAAAGTTAGCTGATAGAAGTCGAGAGTAGAATTGTGGTTATTAGAGGCTGGGAAATAGAGGGCAAGGGAGGATATGGAGATGTTGGGTCTGTATACAAAATTACAGCGAGAGAGGAAGAATGATTTCTAGTGTTCTATAGGACTACAGAGAGATTATACTTAATAATAACGTGTTGTATATCTTGAAATAGCTAGAAAAGAAGGTTTTGAACATTCCCAACACAAAGCAATTATTAATGTTTGAGGTTATTACTCTGATTTGATCATTACGCACTGCACATTTGTGTGGGAATATCAGTCTGTATTCCATGAATAAGTACAATTATTAGGTGTCAACAGAAAACAAACTGAAAAAGACAGGTCTTTTTTAAAAATGTGTATTTTTAAAATACATATTTAAGAAGCTACATAAAATATTCTGCTTTTCACTATTTTCTCACTTAAAACTTTATTCCACATCATGACTTACAATGATATCATATTTTTATAAATAGCTGCATTGTATTTCATTGATATCTGGACTTAACCTAATTATTAACAGAGTTTCAGGTTTTTTCCAATAGACATTTTAACCGTTTTTTTGTTTTTTTACTATTAGAAAAATGCTCAACACCACTAATCATCAGGGAAATGTAAATTACAACCACATCAAGATATGACATCACTTTCGAATGGCTTTTATGAAAAATTCCACAAACAATGGCTGCCGGTATGGGTGCAGAGAGAAAGGAATGCTTATAAACTGTTTGTGGGACTGCATATTAGTACAACCGCTATGGAACACAATATGGAGATTCCTGAAAGAACTAAAAGTAGACCTACTATTCAATCCAGGAATTCCACTACTGAGTATTTACCCAAAAGAAAAAAAGTTGTCAAAAAGACACCTGCACTCAAACGGTTATTGCAGCACAACTGACAATCACAAAGATGTGGACTCAATCTGAATAAAACATTCATGAATGGATTAATAAAGTGTTAAATATACATCATGGAATACTACTCAGCTGCCCTTCCCCACCCCCCAGAAGGGGACCTGGATAGAGCTGGAGATTGTTCTCCTAAGTGAAGTGTTACAAGAAAGGAAAAACAAACACCACTGTACTCACTATTAAATAGGAACTAACTGATGAGCATACAAGTGCACAGAAGGAACACACCAACCTAATGGGTGCTATGGAGCGCATTTGGGTGATGAGCACACCTATAGCCAGAGCATAAGCACTGCAAAATGATCCATGTAGCCCAAAGCATTGGTACCCTCTGAATATATTCAACTAAAAAAAATAAAAATCGTGACATATTTTATACACCCTGTGCATATTTTTTGATTCTTCTCTCAGAAATTCCTTCAACAGTAATTTCTGTCTGAGTCAAGGGCATGTGTAGTTTATATTTTTGTAATGATTGAAAACTACAGTCTGGAGGGGAATTCTTATATATGGCCAATTTGCATTCCTTAAAGTTGCATATGGTGAAGTTGTTAAAAACCTAATACCAAAATAGCAATAGGTCCTTACCTATCAATAGCATTGAATGCGAATTAACTAAATTCTCCAGTTAAAATAAATCTACCTTGTAAAGTGATGCTATTTGTTAATAATTTATTTCTTTTTTTAATAACTTATTTCTTAGTTTTCAATCAAAGTTTATATGTGAAGGAGGTCTGTTGTTTTCCATTTTGTATAAGATATCTCAAATTCTCTTATCAACAATATTTTGGCTTTAAAAAAGGCATTGACAACATCACCACATTCAGAATTATTTCTGTAAAAGGTAATTATATCATCACTTCTGTAACATAAAAGAACTTAACTCTGGAGTATTTAAAAATTATTTTTCTCTCTGTTTTTCATTTCTATTTAATTTTCCTTAAAGCCAGTTTCTCAGGGATCCCTCAGAGCCTTTTGTCTCAATTGTCATTATTATGATAAATTATCTCATCATTTTTTAAGGGCCTGAAAAGGTAGTAAACTCAATTTTTAGTACTATAATTTTTTTGTATATTCCAAAATTATGTTGGAGTGAATGTCATTTCTGCTTTCCTTATGAAGGTAAAATAAACAGAATGTTTGCCACAGCTTTAATCACACAGTTTCCAAGATTTACTTCAGTATACTGAGAAGACAAAGAAGAATATAGGACTTACAGTTCTCTCCAGATTTGCTTGTGATTCGTGCAAATCTTCGGTTTTGCCATTGTGTGGAAGTATCATAGTTTGCCATTTTCAAGTCGTAAGTATACAATTCATCCATTTCTGGAAAGAAATAATTCAGGCTGGTATGAGTCATAGCCTGTTAGCCATTTGGGTCTTAAATTTTTTTAAATTCTATTTGCCATTTTCATGCATATACTTCCCATGAATATCCTTTTAAGTGTATAAAAATGAAATGTACATTTATTTTATGTTATTTCTTTATTAGGATGTTTTTCTTTTGCTATATAGGATCATATTTATTCAATGGCAAAGTAGTTTTAGCAAAATCCTATGTGCTATTAAATGAGTTAATTCATAATATATAATAAAATCCAGCATTAGAATAAAGACACTTGATACAGTGAAAAAGACAGGAGTAGAAAGATAGACATGTGTTTAAATCACAGATGCGTATTTACTAACTTGCTAACTTCTTTTTGCATCCCAGTCTCCAACTTGCAAAAGAAGAAAGCAAGCAAAAGGAGGAAGTAGCAACATAATCTGCTATGGATATTTAAAAAGTGAAAAAAATGAGATGAACTTAGGGTCAATAATGTCAGTTGCATAGTAAACATCTAGTAAATGTCAGTATGTAGAATTTTCTTTATAGTAAAGGACATATGTCAACTAAAATAAGAGAATCTAAAGTTTTAGTATAAAAATAAAGCATCTTGCCTCTGAACAAAACAACCATTTTGCTCTCTTCTTGAAATATTAATCATTTACTGACTAGTAAAAAAGTTTTATAAATTTAATGATAATATTAATTATACCTAAAAATGAAATGTTTTTACCCATAATATATGATTCACTTATTAAACATAATCAACTAAAGAGTTTGCCTCATTTTGTGAATGAATTGAATCTTAGAGATGGTCAAAATCATATTGCTTAATTAACGTTACCAACTTTGAGCAATTTATAACACTTTTAGGATAAAAACACTTTCAAATGCATTTCAGTTGATTAGAATTCTACGCAAATTCAATAAGATAAATATGGCATGTTTTATATCTCTATTTGATAAAGAAAATAAAGTGCATAAGGGTTGTAGCTTAACCCATCTCAAAGCTAGAGAGTGGGAAGAGTTTGAGTAAAATTCAGTTTTGACTCTAGATCCTAATGCCATTTCACTATTCAAAGCTGGCTCATATTGTGTCTTTACTGTAAGTAGTTAATGAAATAAAGGGAAAAAAAAGTCTTCAAGTCTTTGAAAACTTAAAGAAATACATTAAACATAAAGTGAGTCAAAGAAAATTTATTTCCTAGGCCTTAAATGCTTGTATAAAATTTTGAGCATCTTAAAATTATACAAAAGCAAAAACCACACATTTTGTGGAAAGTACATACCCAAGCCATGATGAACCCTTCGATCACGAACCAACCCCATTGTATATACAATTATGACTGCACATTGACTACAGAGAAGAATCTAAAGTCTTCAATTCACAAAGAATCTCTGAATAAAATAAAACAGGGCATTTAATTTTTTTTCTATTTTGTTCACTTCCAGTGACACAAAATATCTGTAATGGAACAGTGACATACAGAAAAATTCCCCCCAACACCTGTCTCAAAACAAAGAATGGAAATGACAAGTCACATAAAGCCAGGTGAAATTAATTTGTAAATGTATGTTGGTGGTAAAATAATGACTATTTTTACATGTCTATTTTAACTCATGACTAAAATGACTATTTTAACTCATCTATGTGAAGATACTTAATAAAAATATTTTTATGAGACTGCTATTGATTAACGGCACACAGTTTTTTTCTTTATACTTTTATCACTTCTCAGCCTTTGGCTAAGATCAAGTGTTTATAGCTGTTTATTGAATTTTGTGATAACGATTTCTTTGCAAGCTACACTCAGGTAAGATATATGAACATTTTTGCATGTTTTTTCCCTAATACATTTTCATTTAGCTTCTGTCCATAGCCACAGGAGCATCAGCAACAAATTATCATCATCACCATCATCACTAACAAAAATAATCTCACATATTTTTATATAGTAACATCTAACATCTTACAGTCTAGCAGAGATCTCAGGAAAATATAACTGTTTAATAAGTATGCATAGTGCTTAGGTTTTAAAAATAAAATTATTTTCACATTTGATCATGATAGTTGAAAGGCATGGATATTACAACTTGTTTCATTTTGCATGTAAAGTTGTATATGAAAGGTAAATGCCTTACACAAGATCACAAAGCTTTTAACTTTGAAAATTCCAATTTAAACCCAACTCTACTGATCCTACATGTAAAGTTTCATTCTTCTTTATTTGCTTAGAGATCAGGGTTTTTCGTATAGTAACATCATAACTTCTGATCCTTCAATAAGCATATCCTAATTTACTTACCATCAGATACAATGATAAAGAATATATACTTCAGCAGTGGTAAGCTTTTCTTGCCCTCAGTAATTCTATTCTAATGCTTAAGAAACAGTTAGAATTATCTTATGGTCTAAATATTTTTAGAAACTTTTTTGAGGTGGAAATATAGTTCCTCATTTCTCGAATAACAGTTAGAACACACGCCTGCACGCACACACACACAGACACACACCTGATCAGAGAAGAAAGATCTTGATTCTTGTGGATAAAAAGCCTTCTATTAATCTAGAAAATGCGGACATGTCTTGAGTTCCTAACTTAGAAGTGAAATTACAGGTTCTCAGTTAATTTCAATCTTTGAGAAACATATGATAAATGTTACTTTAATCTCATCTTCCTGTGGAAAAACAAAACGAACCACAATACTTCCTCTTATATCGCTTCACAAAAAGTTTCAGCAGCTTGGTAAATGGGGTGGGATTACCCCTTGCTGGATAAATGTTAGGTCTCAACAACATTTTAGGACTTGAAAATGATGAATTTGGTGATAAAAAATAGCATAGGGTTTGGAAAAACAAATGATGGGCTGATACAACCTTTCCTTAATCAAAGTGAAAAATTATAAAATATGATTGTAAAAGAACTATGTGAAAATAAACAGATTAGTTGTTTAAAAATTAAATAAAATTTTTAGTCACTTTGTGCACAAACCATTACAAGTTAGAGTGAAATCAAGTATGCTGTATCATGGAGGTTGGAATTGTAAAGATATATCTTTCATATTTACACACATACACATACACATCTACACATAAGCTTTTTAAAAATTAAATCACAGCTGTGAACATTAATGCAGTCATGGGGTACAGCGTGCTGGTTCTACATACAATCTGAAATATTTTCATCAAACTGGTTAACATAGCCTCACACACATAAGCTTTTAATCATAAAAATATACAATGTATACAAAATAAATAATTCCAAGATGAGCCATCATACACCTAGCATAAATAATTATCACCTTATGATCACATTAATCCATGTATGATGTATGTGGGTGACAAATCCCTCTGTGCTTTTCTCCTTTTCACTCATTGCATTGTTCTCTTTCTGTTCCTCAGAACAATAGCACCAAATCACATGCCAGAATAGCAACATGATCGAGTAATGTCTGACTATTCTGATTTTCAGCTACTCATAATTTTTATTATGTTAGAAAATAGTAAGGAAATTATCATAATTCAAAGGAGACCAAGGATATATGACAACTCAATGTAATGTGGCAGCCTGGATAGTATAATGGAACATTAAAAAGGGCATTAAATGAAAATTTAGGAAGTCTAAAGAAAGCATTTACTTTAATAATAATATGTCAACATCAGTTCATTGGTTATGACAATGAACCATACTAATGTGAAATAATAATCAGGAAAACTGGGTGTATAGTATGTGGAACACTGTACTACCTTTGTAAGTTTTTTTTTGCAATTTTCTGTAAATTTAAAACTATTTTAAAATAAAACACTTATGTAGAAAATAAATAGTTGTAACTTCTTTATAAACTAAACTAAAATAATAATAACAACAATAATAATACTCTTGGGGCCCATAGAAGAAAAAAAATACGGAGAGAAATAGCAAAAAAGTAGTCACTTACATTAAGTCTCACTGAATATGTTCTCCTGAAAACAAAACTTCCATTCATAAATTCATAGTCATTGAATTGAATAAATAAAAGAAAATTATCAGGCAATAATGTTTAGCTAATAGAACAATTAGATAGACATTGTAACCATGTATAAAATATATGAAGAAATAGTCACAAAAGCCCATTAGTGAACAGTGATAATCCATTAACAGGACTAAGTCTCCCATCCTCATTCCCCAAAAAAGATGAACAGCAGAGGAGAAAAAAATATTAATTAGCATGAGCAGGAATAAAAAATGAGACATCAAGCTGATCCATGCACATCACAGAATAATAACAAAGGGGAGTTTATGAATGATGTGATAGTAAATAAAGTTGATAATTTTGATGAAATTAGAAAATTATGGGCAGTACCTGTGGCTCAAAGGAGTAGGGCACTGATCCCATATGCCAGAGGTGGTGGGTTCAAGCCCAGCCCCAGCCAAAAACTGCAAAAAAAAAAAAAATAATAATAATAATAAATAAATCTATTTAAAAAAAGAAAATCATTTGAAAAATGCAATTACTTTTGCTATATGTTGGTGGGAGATTAGAATTTTACTGTCTGGAATATAGTTTTAGAAAAACTATATTCTATAAGCATCAGAGTGATAAGGATTAGAGGCCAAAATGCTAAAAGTTTAGTACCAAAGGGCTGCAGGGAAAACAAAAATAAAATAGAATTAATCCTCAATGTCAAAACTGTTATTTTTATTGATTTATGAAATAGAAAAAAGTTTGATAAAACTGATTAAGAAAGAGATAAAGTTGCAAGAACTAAAATATAGAACATAAATACAAAAGCTAGAATAATTTTAATGAAATCAGTAGATTATTAAAAACTTCTCATATGGATGCAAAAGCCATATGTAAAATATTCATGAGTATTATAATATGTAACTATATATAATTTTATAGGAGAATAATAAACTTTCAAGAAAGAGATCATTATGTTATATAAACTCTTCTAGGAAGTATAAGAATAAATAAAAAACATTTTGTATTTTTCTTTTAAATAAGAATTACATTGATGAGCAAGGAAGATGAGAATGTGTTATGAAAAGAAAAGGAAAAATCAATCTTATTTATCAATATTGTGGCAAAATTCTAAAATAGTACCAAATCAAATCAGATAGTGTAGAAAACTAATATAGATGATCAAATTAGATTTGTTGTTGTATTATAGCAGTCATTTTCCTTTGAAAAAATATGCAATTTACTGCAAAGAATAATTAAGAAATAAAAAATATTAACATAATAGAAAGAACATGATCAAATCAAGACAGAAACATTTTCATGCTAAAAAATTATTAGTATTTATACTAAGATCTATACAAAAATCCTTCTTAACTTTATTATAAATCTTTTAAAAATTCATGAAGACAAAGAAGTCATTGGATACTGCTTATTCCAATATATTGTGGAGATTCTTCAGCACACTTAAAAACATGTTAATGAAGACAAAGTGGTAGAGGTGGACAAATTAGGAGGGGAAAAAGCATGGACAAGAAAAAGTCACATGCATAGATGAAAAAATATGAGATAATATTACAGAAGAAGTAGGAAGTGAGATCCTATTTGGTAATTAGTGCTGGGAATTTTTTAAATTTCAATAAAAAATGTTAAATTGGATGTATACTATTTTTACATCATATCTAGAAGAACTCAATATTTAAATATACACTTTGGTGCACATAAAAATAAGTAAATGTATGAGAGTTGATACCAGTGAACAAGATTTGTTAAATGTCCATCTTATTTATAGTCATTGATACAAACTAATTGAGATAAGATATAAGATAAAAGAATGATCACATAAAATTTCAAAGAAAGCTAAGCATCAGTCTCAAAAATGAACGCTATACTAAAACATGAAGTCAGCTTTATATGGTGACATGTTAAAGTTGGACAATAAAAAAATTCATTCAATACTTTTTTAGTGAATGTAATTTGCTAAGCACTTTTCTATGTCTTTAGAATGTCCAAGTTAAACAATTCAGGCAAAAATTTCTTGCCCTCATGGAATTCACATTTTAGTTAGGTTATAGAAAATAAAAAACTATACAACAGATAAAAACAAATAAGATAAATGAATAGAAAACAAGTTGAAGAAAAATATGTTATTTTCTAACATACTCATACCAAAATTCTGTTTAGCTAATTGACATTTTCCATTGACTAATGTATGTAGTATTATATCTATTTAAAGGAAAATAGAAGCTGATTCTTACAACCACATGTTTACAAATATTTGGTTTAAGAAAGAAATGAATAGATGTTTAAATGTGGGGTTTTTTTATGGAAAAATCTGAATCACACTTACCTGAAGACTTATTTTTATATATGTAGCGTTAGAACTGAAATTATTTGTCTCTTAAACACAAGATTGAGAAAAGGAGACAGGAATAAGGTGGAAACAGGATGTTTGGATATCCCATCCATTTTGTTTAGTTCAAACATTAACTTACAGCCTATGGCAGGGGTCCTCACACTTTTTCAACAGGGCCAGTTCACTGTCCCTCAGACCGTTGGAGGGCCGGACTGTGGACCCTGGGACCAGTCGGCTACTAAGCAGGACAGGCAGCTGTGGCAAAAACACCCGGCGGGCCGGATAAATGTCCTAGGCAGGCTGCATGTGGCCGGTGGGCCATAGTTTGAGGACGCCTGGCCTATGGGGAAGTCAGGAAAACACGCCATAAGGAAAGTGTCTTTGAAATAAATACCATTCAAAGCTAAACAAAGGGACATATAGTGTCCTATATAAAGGTCCCTAAACAAAATTGACAGAGTGTGGAAAGGATTTTTAACCCAGAAAACTTTAAAACGAGTCCTGCCCGCTGAGTTTAAAAAATTACTTAGAGGGGTGGCGCCTGTGGCTCAATGAGTAGGGCACTGGCCCCATATACTGAGGGTGGCGGGTTCAAACCCGGCCCACCGAACTGCAACCAAAAAATAGCTGGGCGTTGTGGTGGGCGTTGTGGTGGACCCTATAATCCCAGCTACTCCGGAGGCTGAGGCAAGAGAATTGCTTAAGCCCAGGAGTTGGAGGTTGCTGTGAGCTGTGTTATGCCAGGGCACTCTACCAAGGGCAATAAAGTGAGACTCTGTCTTTACAAAAAAAAATAAATAAATAATTACGTAGAGGAATAATATGTTCAAAGAAACTGCAATTTCTCTCTAAATGCTGAGCAACTGACATGATGGGACATTTATTAGGAATTTTCTGAGCATCAGTAATGGTTTTTGTCATGCGGAATTGCAAAAGAATGTGTCAAAGCTTTCAGAAAAAAATACTTTCCAATAATTGGAATAAACCAATAAAATGAATTTATGCATTAATAACAAACCATTTGGCTACAAACATGCATGTAAGAACTTCACACAATATATTTATCTGACTTCTTGAAACTATTGTTCGAAGAAATGTTGCAATGTTTTTGCAAATAATCCATGTTCCAGTCATTTGAGAACCACCATTACCGCAGCAAAGTATTTAGAACTACTTTCGTTAGTGAGAATAACCAGCAAGCCCTAATCAAGGCTCTTTCTGGCCAGTAAAGAGCAGGTGGGTTTACTGCCTAAGCATGCCGTGAGCCCTGAGTACCACAGGAGGAGGATGTTCTGTGGCCATG